TCTGCGCCCCAGGCCGGGATGAGAGCTATGGCCCCAGCCAGAGCCAAGCCGAGCGGCTCCCCTCCTGGGCAGTCCCCTCCTCACTTCCCGGAGGCGAGAGAAGGTCTCAGCCGGAAGACAGGGCGACCCCAACGGCACGGACCGGCCGTCCTGCCTCACCTTCCCCCGGCCTCCTCACTTTTCCGGGCCAGGAGCCCAGGTGACCTGAGAGGTGATGGGAACTCTCGGTCCCGGGCACCACCCCCTCACGTTAGCGGGACCAATCACGGACGGATTCGGGGTGGCCCTTTCCCATATCCCCTCCAGTCCCCCTTAGTGAAAACCTGATGATTCCCCCCAGCTGCCAGATCCGTAGGGTCTCCCAAGTTTCTGGGTCACAGAAGGAGCGGAGATGGGCCTGGCCTCGGTCTGGATCCTGCCGGGGGCTGGAGAGGCTCTCCCTGGTTCGAATGGGTCGCTCTGATCCGGGCCTGGGAAGGCTGCCCGCTGGTGTGGGCTTGGTCGGAGTTTGGGTGGATGATAAAAGGCCGCCCCGTCCCACCCTGTCCGGAGCCCATCCTGACACTTGTGAAACAGCAGTATACCATGTTCTCCCGGGCTGGGCTTACCACTTCGCAGTGGCGCTGGGACCTTGGGTGGGGCGTTGGAAGTGGGGGATATGATGGCAGGGATTTATCTTTCTCTTGGGGATGAGCCCTACCCAAGCTCTACTAGTATGAGCTCTGTTAGTCTTAATTATCACATTGCGCTGAGTTCACCATTATCCCCATTTCACAGTGGGATAAACTGAGGCTTGATGAGGGGCATTGGTTTGTTGCCAGAGGTGACCCTGAGTATAAGGGAAGGAGTAGCCCTTTTCCAAGTCAGTCTGGCCCCTTGACTGTGAGGTTGTGGAAGGGAGTGGCAGGGCTGCTTTTGGTTTCTGGCAAATGCCTGAGGGAGGCTCTGACAGCCTTGTGAGGAGGATTGGGGAGTTGAGCGGGGTGTGTGTGCGCAGGCACGTGTCCCCGTTCTTCAACTGAGTGGAGACCCTGAGGAGGAGTGGGCTGGGCTGATGGAGTGGGGAGTGGTTTGCACAAGGGGCCCCTGCCCCCATGAGTGTGATGACCTGGTCACTGCCTGGACTTCCTCAGCCTCTGCACATCCTGCCACCTCTCTGCTGGCCCTTCCTGTCGTCAGCAGCCTCCCCTGTTGGAGTAGAGAGGGATGTGGGGGGGAGGAGCTGAGTCAGTGTCCTGGCCTCCCCTCCCCAGGCCAGTGGGGGCAGGGCAGTGGTTGCCTTGCCGACTGGGTGCCTGCCAGGCTCAGAACTGGGTGCTTTCACATTACCAGTGTAGAACCTTGAAGGCTGATGGAAACTCTCCATCTAACAGATGAGGTGTAGGGAGGTGAAGTCACATGCCCCAGGTGACACAGCTGGGACCTGGCTGAGCCAGAATTTGTAACCAGGGCTGTCCCAGTTTTCTCTCAGGATGAGATAAGAAATGTACACAGTTGCCTTTGCTGGGGAAGCACATGCTGAAAAAGGGTAAGGCTGCTAGAAGCAGCACATAGGGGCGCTTGGAGGAAGGTAGCGCATCCCTGCTGGTGGGAGGGGGCCTCCAGAGGGAAATGTCCTCCTGTGACTGTAGGCCTTTGTCGGGTGGAGATGGACTGGGGAGGGGACAGTGTGGACAGAGGCTGGTGGCCATGTTTGGGGAATTGAGTGGTGAGAACATAGAGAAGGGACTTGGGAAGGAGGGCCTCAAAAGCCAGGAAAAGCAGCTTGGGCTTTTATCAGGAGCACTGGGGAGCCGTGAAAGGTTTTCGAGCAGAGAGGAGGCTCACGATCACCTTTGATAGTGTTTGCTGGGTTCATCCTGGCTGCCTTCAGACCTGAGCCTGCTCTAGGCTGGTGTCCTTCCTATTTTTTATTCACACACTTTTCCTTTCTCCTGGCCCCATCTCCCTGGCCTCAGGGATCTGTATGGAGCAAGTGGCAAAGGTGCCATGAATGGATAAATGCTTAGAGGCTTTAGGAAGCTGGGCCTGGAGTCAGGATCTGCTCCACCTCCTTTTACCTTAGCCGGCTGGCTGCAGCCTTATTCCTGGAGCTTCATTCCCCAGCCACTGCCTGGCATCAAATTATATACCTGTTCACTTGTTTATTGTCTGTCTCTGTCCTGAGTTCCACCAGGGCAGGGGCTACTGTTCATGGCTGACTTCTTGGCATAGAACCTAGAACAATGCCTAGTGCTGAAAAAAAAAGAGAAAAGGAAAGTAAAAGAAGAAGAAGAGAGAGAGAGAGGGAAAGAAAGAAAAGAGAAAGAAGGAAAGAAAGAAATTTCTACAACTGTTTCCAGAGTCCTTGGGTCCTGGAGGGTGAACAGCACATGTCCCTGACCGAGTTGCTGCTAGTCTAGCCTGCAAGGGATAAATAAATGGCTTCAAGATAATCACAGATGTGGCAGAGGCCGTGGGAGGTCATCCGGTGTGGTGTGTGGTATGTACTGGGAAAGGGGCCGCAGAGGTGGCAATTAAACTGGATCTTAAGGCACAAGAAGGGGTTTGCCTCATCAAAGGAGGAGGAAGCCTGGCATTTCAAGCAAAGGACACAGGCGTGTGTAGAGGCTCCGAGTCCTGATGTGTTGGGGATCAGAGAGGATGTGTGGTGACATAAACATGGGGCCTCCTAAGCAGGGGTCGGCCATCCCAAGGCAGCTGGACCTTGTTCCACCTGGGGCTGTCCCTGGAGGTTTTAGGCAGGCCTGTGACTCTAGGCCTTTCTGAGTGGGTCCCCCGACCGGAGTGTGCTTATAAGAGGCTGTGTCACTGGTCTAGGTGGGCGGGAGGCAATGCTCACATGTGGCCAAAAGAAGGAAGGCCCACTGTGAGGACCTGTCAGTGCTCGGGAAGGGAAAAAGGAGAAAGGGAGCTTCCTGCAGGCGGAGGAGAGGTGCCTGGGCCTGTGGAGCCACGTGTGAAGGTGAGCAGGAGAGATTTTCGTTATCAGAACTTCTGACTCCTGGCGGGGGTTCCCAGGTAACAGTAGGACGTCTCCTGTCAGTGGGTTTAAAAACACATTGGTGTCCTCCCCTCCCCAAGGTCTCCATGGGGACGTGTTGTGTGGGGTGTGTGTACTAACATCTCCATGTGTGGCCCATTTGGTTCTCTCATAGAACTTGGGGGAGGGCAGGGCCCCCCCATCGTTTGCCACATGAGGCAGTGGGGCTCAGGGATGTGACTTAGGAAGGTCGTGGTGACCCCACTTCCCAGGCAGCCCTTGGGGTCCCAGCCTGTCATTCCCACTGAGGAGCCCTTCCTCAGCCTCTGGAAGTCCAGGACTGATCCAGCCCCAGCTCAGTTCATTCCAGTTGGCTGGGACACCTGCTCGTCCTTCCTAGGGGCTGTCCCCTGGGTCAGCACTGTGATGCCAGCTCCATGGTCCATTCCAGAAAGCCTGGCTCCTCAGGCCTGGGGATGGGGCAGGAACTGCCCCCAAGGCACAGGAATTTAGACCAGGACATTGAGGAAGGTGGATATTCAGCAGGTTTTCCTTGGGGCCACAGCATGCTGGACCATGGGGCCCCAGGAGGTCCCAGTCTGCACGCAGACCCAGGTGACTTGGTGACCCTGAGCATGGCTACCGGTCTTCAGTCTTAGCTTGGAACCACCCAGGACAGCTTCCACAACATGTGAGGAACAGGGTGGGGTAGAACAGAGAGCAGAGGAGGTGAACCCAGCCCAGGGTTTCCCAGTTCTGAGCAGAGCCCATGCCCCTTCCCTCAGGCAGATGTGCAGGGAGGGGCTGTGACACTGGGTGGGGCTGCTAGCCTGCTGAGATCCAGGGGCCTCTGTCCAAAGGCCATGGCCAGGGATGGCTCAGGATGTATAGGCTGCTGGCCCTGTCCCTCTCAGGCCTCTTCCTCCACCTGAGGAAGAGGAAAATGGGGCTCCCTGAGAGGAAGGCCGGTCAGGGGAGGTGGCCAGGTCAGGTGGCTCCTGTTTCCAGGTTTCCAGCTGCCATCGTTGTCGCCGCCCACCCCACCTAGCTGTGCCACCCACTCCCTCCACGCAACCAGACACCTTGGCCTGGTGAGGCTGCAATGCAGCCGCTGATAGGTGGGCTCAGAGCCATGGCAACAGGTGGCCGCCTCCTGCCTGCCCTCGAGCCTGGTCTGCCCTGCTCTCCCTGCCAGTGGGCAGGAGATGAGACTCTGTAGGGGGACTGGGACTTAGACAAGAGAGAGGTCTCCCCAGCAGCCAAGGAGGGTCTATGGCTGGCACCTACCATATAGGCCTGGCCAGAGAAAAGGCCCGGATGAGCAGCTTTGTCATCTAGGGCTAGGTGGGAGGTCCTAGTTCACAGACCCTTGGGGAATATGCTACAGCTGGGAGCCCCCCAATCCCAGGGCCGTGCTCCCCTGGGCAGCACCCAGCAGGTAGGCCTTGCCAGGACAGAGGTACCACCTCCCCTTCCATAGATCTAGGGGGGACCAGAGGGTCTCTGACTGAAGCCTGGGCCTGGCTCCATCTTTCAGGGTCTCTAGGAGACGAGGGAAGGGCAGGCTGGTTGGACCATGGGAGGTTGAGTGGGTTGTGGGTGGGTAGGAGCATTAAGGCATTTTCTTGTGGGCCGCCTGGACCTCATCAGCCCTCTCTCCTGGCTTCCCAGCACCTCAGTCTTACAGGCCTCAGGGGCAGGGGACAGGATGGGCAGCAGCCCTGCCTCCCCAGGCCCAGTTCTCCACAGGGCCTGACTCATCTGTCCCCTCATCTCCCCATAGCCCGATCTGCTCAACTTCAAGAAGGGATGGATGTCTATCTTGGACGAGCCTGGAGAGGTAGGAGGGCTGACACGGGGGTCGGGGGAAGTGTGGCTTTCTGCAGTGCTCTGGAGGCTCCTGGGGGTGGTCCGTGGCTGAGCTGCTTCCCTGGCCTGTCTAGCCTTCTAGAGACTCTGACTTCTGGATGGAGGGAGTCCAAGATGGAGGCCAGAGTGGGAACCCTGAGGGCAGGATATTTCTTGTCCAATTGGAAAGAAGGCCTCGGCCTGTGAGGGTGGGAGGGCATCTCAGCCTCTTGAAGCAGTCTGCAGTATGTAAAGGTCACCAGAGTTGGAGGCCTCCTGGCCCTTCACGCCCCACACCCCATCCCCTCCTGTCACCAAGAGCCTCTTGCCCTCCCGCCTCTTGACAACCCTGGCTGAGTATCCAAGGGTCTGGGATGGAAGGGTTCACAGAGATCACTTGACCTGAGGCAGGTACAGATTTCCAAAGACTCAGCCATGCAGCTCCCCTCAACCCTGGGAGTGGGCTTCAGAGCACATTTCTTGAAGTCTCACCAACTTGGGGCCCCACTGGTTGAGTCACAGCTGCCTCTGACCTCGGTGGCCACATCTGTGAAATGGGCATTCTGGATAATGATAGTTCTTTCCAGGGGGGATAACAGAGTCACAAAGGTCAAGCATGTAAAGTGTCCCACAGAGCTCCCAGTGCCTGCTTGGGCCTCAGCTAATAACCCTTCCCTTTCTCTAACGTGTGCATCTTTAGAATCTGAAGGGACAGTAGCCTTTCACCGTCTCTACCCTTCTGCCTGCCAGGCTGGAGCTGGAGCTGGCTTCCTGCCCGCTCAGCCTGGGAGAGGACGTCACCCTGCCCGGGTCCTGCATGCGCCCGCGGCTTGGGTCTGCATGCAGCCCGCATGCCGAGGAGGGCTCAGAGCCAAAGGGAATCTCATTGTGTTTCCTCCCCACATGCTTTATTCCCTCCAGCCCACGGCCTTCCGTACCCGCTGCCTGCTCGCCAGTCCTCTGGTGGCTGAGCTCCAGCCTCACACAAGGCCGGGCACCCCGCCAGTGACCCTTCTCAGCCTCCCCACCCAGGGTCTCTGGAGGGCAGAGATTATGGGCTCCACCCAGAACTGGCCGTTACTCATTCTCTTTCACAGGATTTTGGAATGTCCGAGCTGGAGGGGCCCTGGGAGTTCAGCCAGCCCAACCCCTTGGTTGCACAGACAGGAGACAGGCCCACAGGGGCTTTGATCTCTTCCAGGCCTAGCAGCACCTTGAGCAAACCCAGGCCTAGAACTCAGGGCACGTGAGGCCCCTGGATTTCCATCCAGCTGCCATCTCAGGCAGTCATAGACTAGGCCTGGAAGGGCCAAATAGATCATTTGGCACAGAACCCATGCCCTGCTTTACAGAGAGACAGTTGAGGTCCTGAGCAGCAACTTGGGCCACTCAGGAAGAGCAAGGTCATTCTAAGAGGGCCAGCCTCTCAGAACAACCCCCAACAACCTAGTGCCTGATCTTATGCCAAGTGCCAGGAGAGACATCCCGGGAAGAGTTAGGAACTTCTGACCTCACTAGGAAGCTTAGGGACTTCTTATTAGCTTTCCTTTACAAGTCAGAAAACTGAAGCTCAGAGAGGTCGAGACACTTGACTGAAGACACACAGTTAGCAAAGGATAAAATAGTTGTAACTTTGGTCTCTTGGACGCTAAAACTCTGTCTTCAGGGAGGCAGTGTGAAAAGAAGTAGAAAGTATCCTCCTTGCACATCCTTGAAAACTTACCATCTTCTTGAGGAAAGAACACTAAGCACTTGAAATAACAAACAGTATGGATTGGGCTTGGTGATGTAGGGGAGCCCCAGAAGGACCAGAGACTGGGTGACATACACTGACCCTGGCAGTGGGTGGACCTCTACTGGCATTCCGGTGAATGGCCAGAAGCCCAGAGGCGGGCTGAGCTTGGCACTTTCAGATGAGGCTGCTCTGATACCCCTACCCTCTCCTATATGTTCTGCCAGCCTAACCCCAGTTGGAGCAGAGAGGAGCACCCAGAAAGGCGACTGCATCATAAATATACAGATAGTGCATTCTCACAGCTGAGCGTGCATGTAACCAGCACCTAGAACAAGAAACAGAATATACGACCAGCTTCTCCCTGGCCCCCCTTCCAGTCCTGCTCTCTGGGAGACTTGTCCTTGGCCACTGAGGTGATTGATTCAGGGGCAGAGTATGGAAAAAGACCTAAAGTTCTGGTCCCTGACTTGCTAGGCAAATGACCTCACACAGGTCACAACCCCTTCCTGGACTGCCCTGGATTTGCTTATAGGAGCTTTGGTGATCTTGGCAAAAAGGATCAGGAAGCATTTGGAAGTATCAACAAATCAGAGAAGGGCTCCCAGGAAGAAAGGGAGGGTGTGGTTACTGACAAGAAGCTGACCCATTTCACAGATGCTGCTCCTGAGGCTCGGAGAAGAAATGGAGCGGCTAACTTCAAATGTGGATTTTGTGACTCTGCACTGTCCTCTGTCCCTTGCCCCCTGCCCCTCAGCAGGGCAGATGAGGGTGCCAGGCCCCTGCTGTGAGCAGAGTAGTTGACCTGGCAGTGCCCAGGACACCCGCGGAGTAGCTCACAGACACACTCATTCCCCTGCTCACCATTGTCTCTCCTTCACAGTGGAAGAAGCACTGGTTTGTGCTGACCGATTCAAGCCTCAAGTACTACAGAGATTCCACCGCTGAGGAGGTGAGACAACGAGGTGGGAGGGCTCCTGCCCCCATCAGATGCTGGGGGACCCTATGGGGGGCTTGAGGGGCTCAGGTGGGTCACCGAAGGTCATGGACCATCATGAGCATTTTTACTGCAGGCGGATGAGCTGGATGGTGAGATTGACCTGCGCTCCTGCACGGACGTCACCGAGTACGCAGTGCAGCGCAACTATGGCTTCCAGATCCATGTGAGGCTGGGGGACGACATGTCTGGAGGGCCCCCAGAGGAGGTGTTAGGGTGGAGCATGGTTCACCAGACTGGTTCCTGTCACTCATTTACCCAGAGACCCCTTCCTCAGAGCCAGTCAGAAGCTCTGCTGCCAACACTTAGCACATCTGGGGTGATCCCGGATATCACTGGCAGGGCGGTTTAAATGTTGGAGAGATCTTGGAGCACACGGGGCTCTTCCAAGGCTAGTGGAGAGGAGGTTTTGCATCTCCCGCTTTCCTCCAGATGCAAGACCTTAGATACCCGCCTGGGAAGGAAGGGCACATCCCTGGGGTCCATAGTGGGGTGGAGAACTGTGGGACTGGCCAGGTGGCAACCTACCTGTGGGGTGGACTTGCAGACCAAAGATGCTGTCTATACCTTGTCGGCCATGACCTCGGGCATCCGGAGGAACTGGATTGAAGCTCTGAGGAAGACTGTGCGTCCAACCTCAGCCCCAGATGTCACCAAGTATGTGCTGGGCTGGACTGGGGCCTTGGGGGAGGCACTTACCCCTGCATCCCTGAGAAGCTTTCTGGGACTCACCTGAGGGCCTTGTGGCTATACTTTCTAGGCCTCAGTTTCTCTACCAAGGAAATAGGGAGAGGGCAGTGGGCATTCTTGGCACCCATCCAGAAATACATTGTGGCGTCAAGGTTTGACTCTTGTCCCTTTATATCCCTCTGCATCCTGAAAGGGTAGGGAGTGGCCTCAGCTCTTTGAAGATGCGATGAGTCAAAGGCCCTGTGAGGTAGCTGATTGTCTCTGTGCTGTGGGAGCTGGGTCTCAGCCTGAATTAGGGAGAGAGAGTGGCTGAGTTGTCTGGGTGGAGAGCTCACTCCCCCTGGAGGTCAGTGTGGGCAGAGGGGCAGCAGGGCCCAGTGACCTGCTGGTAGAACCCCACACAGTACAAACCCCAGACGCTCATGGGGGCCAGGACTTGTGGCTACTGGGCAGCAGGAATGGAGGCGTGGCGTTGAGGGGTGTTGAGTGTAAGTCCCCTTGCCTGGCCACACCCTGGCTGTTCAGCCTCAGGCCAGTTACTGTCTGGTCTGAGTTTCAGATTCCTCATCTGTCAACTCCTGGTGTCATGTGAGCATGTGCGTGGAGGCCCTTTGTGAATTCTCAACCTCTGTTCAGCTGGACTGTTGTTTAGTATATTGGCTCTGCTGCTCTAACAAAGAAACCCCAAATGTGGGTTTAAACAGGGAGAAGTTTATTTCTCGCTCCCAAACTGTCCAAGACCTGCCCATAGCCCACAGCTTCGCCCCTGGGCCAGAGGACTGCCAGTGCTCTCATGGGGTCCCAGCCAGGAGCCAGGCCAGGGCACAACTGGTCCTTTAAAGAGTGCCACCTCTCACACCCACCAGGCAGGGTGTCGTCATATGGCCACGCATAGCTGCAAGGGATGCTTTAGTTTTTGGCTAGGTAACCATGTCCCCAGTATTGCTCTGGGAGAAGATAACTGCCACCGTCGTGACAAGTCTTCATAGGTTGTGCCATATGCACCCAGAGGCCACTGTTCACCTCATCAGCAGTGACGGTGGGCACCTCCTCTGTTCCACTGTGAGCCTCTTGAACCCAGGGCCGTGTCTCACACCATACTCTGAATACTAATGCTTTGATCACCATTTGCAAAGGGTTTCCTGGTTGCTTTGCACACATTTGCTCACCTGGTCCTCAGGTCCATCCTGTGAGTGGCATTGTTGTCCCATATTACAGATAAGGTGACTGAGGCTCAGAGAGGGAGGCCAGGTACCCTGGTCCCTCTGCTGGTAAATGGCGGTACTAGGATGGTTCCCATGTTAATGATGAAGCTCCAGTTCTAACCTGCTTTCTCCGCGGGGGTCTATCCCCAGGCCCCGACACATGGGTAGCACTCTGGAAGTGCTTGTTTTGGGACTGAGCGGGCCAGGCCCCACCTGACATGGCTCTGCTGGCCCCCTAGGCTCTCGGACTGCAATAAGGAGAACACACTGCACAGCTACGGCACCCCAAAGGGCTCCCTGAAGGCGGGGGAGCAGCGGGGGGGTGGCCCCCGGAAGGCGGATGGGCAGCGGCAGTCGCTGGACTACGTGGAGCTCTCCCCGCTGACTCAGAGCTCCCCGCAGCGGGCCCGCACCCCAGCCCGCGCTCTCGACCGCCCAGCCAAGCAGGAAGAGCTGGAGCGGGACCTGGCCCAGCGTTCCGAGGAGCGACGCAAGTGGTTCGAGGCCACAGACAGCAGGGCCACAGAGACACCAGCGGGTGAGGGTCCACGCCGGGGCCTGGGCGCCCCCTTGACCGAGGACCAGCAGAGCCGGCTCAGCGAGGAGATCGAGAAGAAGTGGCAGGAACTGGAGAAGCTGCCCCTGCGTGAGAACAAGCGGGTGCCTCTCACCGCCCTGCTCAATCAAGGCTGTGGGGAGCGCCGGGGGCCCCCAAGTGACAGTCATGAGGCGCTGGAGAAGGAGGTAGGCATCAGGGCTGGCCTCTGGGAGCCCCTGTACCCCCACCAATACCCCCTCATCCCTGTAGTCACTCTGTGGCATATACCTTGCATACCTACAGTGATGGGGAGCTCACCCCTGATCCTGACACCTCAGGCTCCCTGTGAACTGTGAAAAAGAGTCTTCTTTCCTGGGCTTTGGGGTTCTTTTTTGTTTTTTGTTTTTTCTTTTTTCCATCTTAGTTCTGTCCTCTGCAACCACAGAGAAGGGAAGAAGGAAGAGAAGGGAGAGACATTTATTGAGCATCTTCTGTGTACCAAGCCTTGTCCCCGGCTCTCTTTACCTACATTAGCTTATGTAGTCCTCACAGCGGTCTCATAATCCCATAGGATAGACCTGATCACTGTTTTACTAATGGGAAACAGACTCCAAGATGTTTCCCCCACCTGCGTAATGTGGTAAATATCGGTGACCACAGTGTCCTTCTCCCAACCCTGTCTAGCCTTCTCTGGGCCTAAGCTCTCTGGGTCGCTGTCCTGGCCATCTCAGAAGCAGCTGGAATGTCCCCATTGCCTGCATCTCGACACCAGGGCCACTTTTCTGTCTCAAACCCAAAGCTCCTCACAGCCTTCAACCAGCTCCATCCTCACTTCCAGGCCCTCACTTGCCTCGCCTTCTCCCCTCACAGGTCCAGTCTCTCCGGGCCCAGCTGGAGGTATGGCGTCTCCAAGGGGAGGCTCCTCAGGGTCCACCCAAGTCCCAGGAGGATGGCCACATCCCCCCAGGCTACATCTCACAGGTAAGACCAAGGAGCTGTTTGGTGGGGGATGGGGGCAGGTTTCTGGTTGCCATGTTTTAAGAATTTTGGGAGCCCTTCATGTATATTGGAACCTGTGTGAGGCATTTGACATGCATCATCTCATTTAATCTCCCCAGCGGGTGGACATAAGCACTGTGCCCATTTTACAGACAAAGCCACTGAGCTATGAGAGTTTATGTGACTTGCCCGAGGTCAACCGGCCTGCAGATGTCCAAGGTGGGATTTGAGCTCGGGTCCGGCTGACTGCAGAGCCTGTGTGTGAGCCCCCATGTGATCCTCTGTACTTAGACCCCTTCTCCTGTACCACTCTGAGGTAATGGGGGACCTAGTGGAGAGTGGGATCCCCAGTGGGCAGGCCCCGGGAGTCGCTCCCTAAACACAGGGAAATCCTGCCCAGGCCTGCCAGGCCAAGGCCCTGCACAAGGTGGTCTGCGGGACATGGATGCTCCCAGTGGCCCTCAGGGGACACATGGTCTGCCCAAGACAGATGATTTTGTTCCCCTGGGGACATTTGGCCATGCCCAGTGACACTTTTATTGTCATGACTGGGACGACTAGCTGTCCAGAAAAAAATGTGTCTGGGTACACACTTACATATGTTTGCTGTAAATCTTACTGGTATAAAGGCTGTTTGGTGTGCAACTTACAAATAAAAAATACACAATGCTTTTTATTGTGAATTCCAGATAGCAAGTTGATTTTTCTCAGAATACTTTCATTGATCCTTCTGAATGCTGGTATCCATAGCTTATTGACAAACGAGTGTCATTCTAACCTGAACGTTGGTTGGCATTTTTGTTGGTGTTAATGAGCAAGACGACAAGACATATGTCAAACTTTTACTTGGTCAATATCATGAGCAGCTTCTTGGCCAAATTAGAGGATAGTTTTCTGTTGAGAAAATTCGAGAATATTCTATTAGAAACATTTCTCATGTTTTTGTTCTTGTACAACATGACAGTCATAGATCAGGCACACTTTGAAGTTTATCTGTACTGTAAGCATTGTTAGCTTTTGGTTTTTGTGGTTTTGCGGGGCGGGTAATTAGGCTTTTAAAAATTGATTGATTGATTGATTGATTTTTTTAATGGAGGTACTGGGGATTGAATCCAGGACCTCATGCACGCTAACCACATGCCCTACCACTGAGCTACACTCTCCCCCCTGCATTATTAGCTTTTTTTTTCATCACTTGCTTAAGTCTGGACAATCAACAAAACAGTAAATAAAGCCCTGATGTGTAAAGTTTACTCATTTCCACAGTGTAAATACTCTCACCCTGGCTGATGCACTGAATGCGGCGTCGGGAAGCTGTGTGTCCGCTGATATACAGTGTTTCCACCTGCAGATACAGAAGATGTAAATAACCTCAAAGCACAGCAAATAATAAAATGCAGTGAAATAATTAGGAGGTGATGAATTTTGAGTATCAGCTTTGTTTTTAATGTAACTAATTTAAGTTTATATAATTTCTAATAATGGCTGTGCTTAATAACTGTGCCACAAAATTCCTAAAAATTTGACAGTCGGCGGCCTCTGATCAGCACATCCTTGTCTGAAACAAGAAGAAATGCTGGGGTCTCAGGCTCTGGGCAGGAGGGCCTTCTAGAAGTTCCAAGGGGGCGAGGGGCTCTCGGAAAGGCTTCCTAGGGTGGCACTGAGCTGACTGTTGCTGTGGGTGGTGGAGTGAGCTGCGGCAGGAGGTGGCGGGCCAGTGGGTGTCCATCATGGAGACCCTCAGTGCCAAGCCAAGGAGCTGGGATCTTGTCCCACCTACCTGAGGAGGTTTGGGGTCTGACAGCGACATTGGGAAGGTGGGGTTGGAGTGGAGGGGGCTTGGGAGGGGTCAGGACCAGTGTCAGGAGCTAGGATGATGGCTGAGGGGGAGAGGGATGTAGGAGGGTGTGTGGAGGGAGGAGAAGTTACGGCTGGGCCACTGCCCCGAGGAAGGCAGAGGGGAGCTGGCTGGGAGCTGGGCCTGGCATGCAAGGCCACGGACCATCTAGGGCTGAGTGGTTGATGGAATGTTCAGCTGAAGGGAGACCAAGGCCACGGGGAGTTGGGGTGTGATGTGGATGGCTCACTTGGGGGTCCCCTGCCATGGGGAAGGGGGAAGGGAGGGCCTCGTGTTGTCAAGGCTCCTTTGAGGCTGGAGGAAAGTGGGGCATCTCTGGACAACACCACCACCTGAGGCATCTGGGGACCTCAGAGACCCCTGCAGAGGCTTCAGACTGCTCTGTGGAGCCCTTGGACTCCCCAGGGGTTGCCTTTCTGTGCAGGTTCCTCCACAGCCACCAGTAACCAGAGCACCTCCGTCTTTGTCCATTTTACTCTTGGAACATGCATTAGATTCCCATTGGAAGAAACTTCCTGTCACTAAAATGAAGTTTGAAAAGTGCTGCTCTAACTTCTCGGCTTACAGCTGGGGATGCTGAGGCCCAGAGAGGAGGCGAGACCTTCAGGCTAGAGGTAGACCCAGACCCGTGCCTGCAACCCAGTCTCTCTGGTCCCAAGGCACCCACTGGGCACCCCAAGCTGTCAGCATTTCTTCCTGTTAGGTTGGGATGGGCAGGGGAGCCGGTGGAATTGGGGGTGGGAGGGCATAACGAGGAAACAGAGCCCAAGGTGGGGTGGGAGGGGCCCAGGGAAGAGGAACTGAGGTCTACGCCCCTTCGGGCCTGGGAGGAGGCCACTGGAGAGTCAGTGGACCCTGGAGAGGTGACAGCCGGGGAGGGATCCCCCAGCCTGGTATCTCAGGCCAAGTGGGCAGCCCTCTTTCAGCCTGTGGTGCTTGCCACAGGACAGCAGCTGGGGGGCCTGGGGCTTTACCCCCTGGGGTGTCAGTGCCTCCTGCAGCAGGGGCCACGGCACTTCTTTGTCTACTTTGATCCATGTCAGAGGTGGCCCTCGGGAAGGCAGGGCAGAGGGAGCAGCACCTGGCCTTCTAGGAGCCCCTCCTCGTGAGCTGGTTCCTACCTTCCTCATCAGCCTCCGGACATCCTATTAGCTGCTGGGTCTGCCAACCTGATCTGGCTCTTTAAGAACAGCAGCCCCACCTCCCATATTGCCCAAATCTACAGGTGCCCAGGGTGGGCACTGGCTTACCTTAGGGACCCTCGTGAGTTGGTCTTATGGGGTCTGTTTTACAGATGAGGAGATTGAGGCTGAGAGAAGGGGAGGGGCTTGTTCAAGTTCACTCCATGGTACAGCCGGGACCCAGTCTGTGGAACTCCGAAGCCATGTTCTCTTGCCCTAAATGGGGGGACACACAGAGGACAGGCACAGAAGCCCAATGGGACAGATGTCCCCTGCCCACCACTCAAAACACCTAGACCCATGGGGCCTGGCCCTTACCCTTCCCCCAAACTGGCCTGTGCAGCCCCCAGATGTGGCTGCTGGAGAGGTGAAGGGTCAGTCCTCACTGGACATGAGGTGCCCCTGTAGCCTGGGGGAGGATGCAGTCTCTCATCTGGCCTTCTGTACCTCAGTTTCTTCCTTGGCCCCTTCATTTTTTAATGATCTTAAATATTTTTTAATTGTGTAAGAAATATGTTGACATTTTCAAAAATAGTTCAAACAAATCAAAAAGTTAGAAATAAACATGTAAACCCTCCTTCCCCTGCCTGCTCCCAACCCCGGGGGTCCCCTTGGTTACCATTTGAGCACATCTGTATAGTTTCCTGTTGCAGCTGTAACAAATTACCACAAACATAAATCACACAAATTTATCATCTCACAGTTTTGTGGGGTGGAAGTCCAACACAAGTCTCGCTTGGCTAATATCCAGGCATCTGTAGGACCGCACTCCCTTCTGTAGGCTCCAGGGAGGCTCCGTTTCCTCACCTTTTCCAGTTTCTGGCGGCCGCCTGCGTTCCTTGGCTCGCAGCCCCTTCCTTCATCTTCAAAGCCTGCGGAGGAGAGTCAAGTCTTTCTCACTTCCCATCACACTGAGCTCCTTCCGTTGTCCCTTCTCCCTCACCCTCTACTCTCCTGCCTCCTCTTCCACAATCAGGGACCCTGTGATTACTTTGGGCCCAGAGGATAATCTAGGATAATCTCCCTATTTTAAGGTCAGCTGATTAGCAACCTCTATCCCCTCGGCTGTGAAAGGTAACACATTTGCAGGTTCCGGAAGTAGACGAGACGTCTTTGGGGGCCATTGCTCTGCCTCCCACAGTATCCTTACGTACCTTTTCCTGTGTTTTCACATGTGCGCACTCAGACCTGTGGCTCTACGTGTTTTGTTTCCATGACTGAGGCTACATCATGCATGTTGTCAGAAACCAGCTTTCATCACCTAACTTTTGGGACACCTTTCCGCAGCAGTCCACGTGGGCAGTACTGTCCTTTCACAGCTGCCTGGATCCTTTGTAAAGCTTGATCCCATAACTTATTTCAGGGTTTCCCTGTTATGCATTTAGATTATTTCCAGTTTTCATCTGTTACCAGCCTCACTGTAGAGAATACCTTTGTCCAAGAGTCTTTGTACACATGTCGCTTTCTGTGGGATCATTCCTAGGAGTGGACCTGCTAGGTTAAAGAGTCATTAAAACTTTGATGATGCCGCCAAACTGCCCTCCACGCACCTGGTTGCAGCTGACTCTCCCAGCAGTGGGTGTTATCAGTCATTTAAAAATTTGTCAGTCTTGTCTACACAGCCCTGTTTTGTGATAGTCATCAATTTCGGCTCACTTACTCAGCATCTGCCACAGATCAGGCCCTGGCCGAGACCCAGGGGACTCCAAGCTGGATCAGAGCTTCCCTGTTTTGGAGGAACTTACGATCTGGCAGAAGCAGAGCCTTTGGAGGCAAGGGAGAGGCTGCCCAGAGTCAGAGCTAGGGGGATATTTAAGCTGGGCTGCAGACCAAGTGAATTATCCAGGAAGAGAAAGTTGTAAAAGAATGTTCCAGGCAGTGGGAATAACATGAGCTAAAGCTCAGAGATGTGAACATGCTGTTGAATTTTTTTTTTTACTAACTATGGGGTTTCATGGTAGGGGAGAGCCAGGGATGAGACCACCAGGGTCAGACACTGGAGCAGGGACTTGGTTCTGTGGGATGAGGAGGCTCAGAAGGATTTGAAGCAGGAGATTGACAGGGTGAGGTTTGTGGATGGGGAATGGTGGGGGGAGATACAGGCTGATGGTGCCAGTGTCTAGGGGGAGGTGGTGAAGCCTGGACCAGGGCAGGCCTGCCCCTGAGGCTTCTTGCCTCAGGCTGGAAAAGGGCCACTGACCCAGGCAATGGGGGCAGCCCCATGACCTCCTGGCTTCCCGCCCGCAGGAGGCGTGCGAGCGCAGTCTGGCGGAGATGGAGTCCTCGCACCAGCAGGTGATGGAGGAGCTGCAGCGGCACCACGAGCGGGAGCTGCAGCGACTGCAGCAGGAGAAGGAGTGGCTCCTGGCAGAGGAGACAGCAGCCACTGCCTCAGGTGAGGACCCTGGGCGGGAGCGGCACAGCAGGATGGAGGCTCCTCCTGGCTGGATTTGGGAGGCCTTTAACTAAGAGGTGAGAGTCTCAGTGCCAAACTTGGGGTGAGGGGTCACAAGCCCCTAGATCTGGCTTCTAACCCTTCTTGCAAAGGGGAAACCGAGGCAATAAAGACCCCCACACACAGACCATGGGTTGTAACTCCTCTCCATCTGGGGCCTGCAGCTACTGGAAGGCCCACCTCAAGCCACACACACGCACTGAGCTCCAGCTCCACACCCAGGCCTGTGCCACGTGCTGGGGAGGGACTGCTCAGCCACAGACTCTGCTCTCATAGGAGTGCTGTCTCACTGGGCACATGGGCTGTTCTACATGCTCCACACACATCTTCACCGAGGAGAGCAGGGAAAGGAGTGAGCATTTACCAAACCCCATTACCCGCATGAGCACCCTTAGTCTTTGCAGTGCCCAAGGGAGTGACCCCGTTCACAGATGAAGAAACTGGCTCAGAGAGGTTAGTTAGTGACTTGTCCTGGATGGCATAGCTTGGAGGTGGTGGAAGTTGGAGTTGAAGCTCAAACTGCTCTAACTGCAAAACCATGAACCCTACCCTCTGCTCTCCCAAGTCAGAAATAGGAACGCCCAAGATGCTGGCCAACTCCCTCCTCCCTCTCTCTGTTCCCTGCACACCTGCTGTGTGTGTGTGCCTGGCACATCCAAGCACTTCCATGGGGTTTGCAGTCTAGTGGAAATGATGAAAGAGGCCACATGATCTAGAACTTACCATCTGCCAGTACTTCAAGTGCTCAAGCCTGGGGCCCCTCATCCCAAATCCTGGGGTTGGTATGTTTTGCATTTTAGGAAGATAACCCAGTGTATATATTAGATATCCTCCCCCAGCAGGGTCTGGGCTTCACCCTAGCACTAAGGTTTTGGCAGTGAAATTTCTCAGAGTCACACTTAAGTGGGATAATAATGACCACAAATAGCCTTGTGTTTGTTCAGGTTGGGAATTGCCACCAAAAGGGTTATGAAACACTTTCAATACTCAGAGCTTTTGGACTTTGGAATTAAGGATAAGACTATGAATGAGGACTTGTTTAATCTTCGCAACAGTCCTGTGTGAGTGTGGAAAGAGACTCAGCCCTTGGGAGCTCACAGCCTGAAAGTAAACAGATGGGGGCCAGTGTCTGGGTACTGACTCTGCCACACATTGTTCTACATGCTTCTCACACATCTTCTGATCACCCAGGAGCGAAGGTGCTGTTGTCATGCCCACTTTCCAGATAAGGGATCCAAGGCACAGAGAGGTTAAGTCCTCTGCACAAGTCACATTGATTTCTGCTGGCCACAGAGCCTATGATCTTGACCACTAGGCTGGGCCAGGCAGGTGGATCTTGTTAAAGAACCCTCCAGGCTCTGCAGGGAGGACTCTGGGATCTTACCCAGAAATCACAACAACAAAAGGTACCAGTGGTCAGACACTGAGGTGTCTCCCCAGCAGGGTCCATCAGATAGGGACTGTTGTCCCTTGATAGACAAGCTCAGAGAGGTTGAGCAGCTCACCCGAATCCACCCAGTTCATGATACAGCCGGGCCTGGTGCTTTTTGCATACCAGCCTCTGCTCCTGTCTCCGTATGGAGTCCCAGAGGAGGTGAAGCTCCTTGCTGCTGACCCCTCCCCAATCTCCCTTCCGCCCTCTGCCCTACTTCCAGCCATTGAAGCCATGAAGAAGGCCTACCAAGAGGAGCTGAGCCGAGAGCTGAGCAAGACACGGAGTCTCCAGCAGGGCCCAGATGGCCTCCGGAAGCAGCACCAGTGAGATGGCACCTGGGCCCTGTGTTCTAGGGGCAGGGCCTCCCTCTGAGCCAAGGGCTCAGCTGTCTACCCTGCTGGTTCTGAGTAGGGAACCTGTGCTGAGACCCCTTGACAGAGGACATGTCAGTTTGCCCCTAGCTGAGACTCCTGCTCCAGTCACATAACACAAGGAACAGAAGCAGCAGGGCCCCAGCCAGACCCCCACACCAGTCCACACAGCAGTTCTCAGACCTCTTCTTGTCTAGCCAGTCTCAGCCTCCACGCTCTTCTTCCCCTCCTTGGTATCCCCTAGAGCTGGGCTATGGTATCGGCCAGTAGGTGTCCCTCCCTGCCACAGAGGACAGTTCTGGAATGTTGGGGCTATGGAGGCTTTAGAAGTAGGCTCCTCCAACCTGCCCCCTCATAGAGGAGGTGCCTGCAGCCCAAAGAGGCTGTCACCATTTCACAGCCCCACAGCGGGCTGAAGGCAAAACCAGGACGGGAAGCAGGAGTCCTGGGCTGCTTTGAGTCTGCGTGACCTGACTCAGCTTGGCAGAGGGCAAGAGAGCCCACACCATCCTTCCCCTCTCCTGCCCCGAGCAGGTCAGACATGGAGGCGCTGAAGCGGGAGCTGCAGGTGCTGTCAGAACAGTACTCGCAGAAGTGCCTGGAGATCGGGGCCCTGACGCGGCAGGCCGAGGAGCGTGAGCACACGCTGCGGCGCTGCCAGCAGGAGGGCCAGGAGCTGCTGCGCCACAACCAGGTGGGCCTGGCCCCTGTGGAGTGGGGGCAGGGCGTGGACATCCTGGCCCCCCTGTACTCACCATCCCACCACTCCCAGGAGCTGCACGCCCGCTTGTCTGAGGAGATTGATCGGCTGCGTGGCTTCATCGCCTCCCAGAGCTCCAGCAGTGGCTGCGGGCGCAGCAGTGAGCGGAGCTCCTGTGAGCTGGAGGTGCGTCCACCCCCTCATGCCAGCCCGCCTAGCTGTTTCTTGGGCCTGGGCGTGGGGAAAGCACCCCAACAGGCTGGATCTGCCCTGCAGTGGGGAGCATTGTGACTCCAAGGGGGCTGAACCCTGGCGAGGAGTAGTCAGGTCGACTAGGAAGGGTGCCTACTGTGTGCCCAGTGCTACTGGGCCAGCTGGGCGAAAGCCGTTCTGTCGGGGTCCTGCCACCCACCTTCTGTGTGACCATGGCAAGTCACCTAACCTTTCTGAGCCCCAGTGGCTCATCAGTAAAATGGGGCTAGCACTTACTAGAAGGTGGAGTGAGAAAATGCGTGTGTGATACCAGGATCACGCCAGTCTTTTGTTGTATTTAACAAAAATGCATATACAGTTTTGCTCTGTGCCTGGCATTTCCATAAGCCCTTGTATCTGCTAACTCATTGACACTTCCTAATAGTCCTATGAGAAAGATGCTGGTACTGTCCCCATTTTACAGGTGAGGATATCGAGACACAGGCAGGTCAAGTACCTTGCCCAAGATCATATGGCTAGTCAGTGTGGGAGCTGGGATTTGAACCAGGCAGCCTGTCTCCAGAGTCTAAGCTTTTAAGCCTCCCTTATCCTGGCTGAACCTGTCTCCTCCTTTGTCAAGTCAGGATAGCAGTACCTGCCCATCAGGGTTTGGGGAGGGATTAATGAGGGAGCCCACAGGGAAGCCCAGCCCTCTCTGGTTCACAGTAGGACCACACTGTGAATTCTTTCTGTGCACTTTGCCCTCAAGTTGAAGGTCTGGTGCTGTGTTGAGGCCACAGCAGAGGCAACCATAAGGCAACCATGAAACACCCATTCACATAATATGGACAGGTGAGAGAGCAAGGAGAAATCAGAGAGGGCTTCCTGGAGGAGTCTGTCTCTGGTGGGCAGTGGGTCTTGGTGCAGATTGGGAGCTGCATTCTAGGGGCCTGAGGCAGAGAGACACCAGCCTTCAGGGCACTATGGGCCAGGGTAGCTCTGGCCTCTGGCCCTGGGTCAGCCTGGCAACCATGACCCTAGGTGCTGCTGCGAGTGAAGGAGAATGAACTTCAGTACCTGAAGAAGGAGGTGCAGTGCCTCCGCGATGAGCTCCAGATGATGCAGAAGGTGAGTCCCAGCTGGCCAAGGTGGGATATCAGTGGAGTGGGGAACCCCTCGATCCAGCTGAATGCCTGTGCTCTGTGCAGCCACTCCTGACTCAACATGTCATCAGGCTCTCTCCGTGCCTCTCCCACGCGGCTGTCACTGTTCCCATTTACAGACAAAGAAGCTGTGGCTAAGAAAGGGTTAGTGACTTGCTCAAGGCCACACTTGCTTTTATTTATTTAGAAAATATTTATTGAGCATCTGCTATGTGCCAGGCACTGCTGGGTGCTGGGGTGACAGCTGTGGACAAGAAAGACCAAAACCCGTGCCCATGTAGAGCATGCATTCCAGTGAGGGATAAGCCAAGTTGCTGGGAGTTGGGGAGCCAGGATTCAGGGTCCAATCTCTGAGGTGTCGTGTCCTTGTGTCTTTGACACCCTCTGTGTGTTGGTGACTCTGGGACTTGTGTGAGCCAGACTCATGGAAGGGGCTCAAACACTGGGCCAGCCTGACCTGATTCTCCTCCGAGCCCCTCACTGCTGTCTGGTCTTGGGCTAAAGCTTCACCTCCCTGAGCCTCGGCTCTCATCTTGAATGGGATGAAAATGATGCTGAAACCTGTGTCCCTGGGTGGAGCTGAGGGCCGCCTAGGGGGGCCACTTGGAGGAGGCCTTGGGGACTGTGGAGGGTCCTGGCTGCTGTGTGCTGGCCAGTGGGCAGGGCCAGGAAGAAGGGCTTCGTGCCCTCACACCCCTCCCTACCCCCCAGGACAAGCGCTTCACCTCGGGAAAGTACCAGGACGTGTATGTGGAGCTGAATCACATCAAGACGCGGTCAGAGCGGGAGATTGAGCAGCTGAAGGAGCACCTGCGTCTCGCCATGGCTGCCCTACAGGAGAAGGAGGCCGTGCGCAACAGCCTGGCCGAGTAGAGGTGGGCGCCGTGGGGTGGGCCCCACAGGGTGGGCAGGGGTGAGGCCAGGCGAGGCAGGATGAGCTCAAGGCTCATCCACGCCCAACTCGCCCTGCCATCTGGGCCAGGGCACTTCCTTCTCCTGGCCTCCGTATCCCTTTCTGTAAACAGGGACAGTGACACCAGCAACTCCAGGTTGTTGTGGGGATCAGTCAGACTCAGCCAGAGGCTGCTTTGTTAACTTGAGCATGTTTCTTCAGAGGTGGGGAAGTGAGTTCAGGATCTGATTGTTGTCTTGTCCACCCACGTGACAGCGCATGTTTCTTAACACCAAGCCACAGCCGCAGCCTGTCCACAGGGCTGGCAGTGCCCTAACTGATCTGCCTGGACTTGGGCGGCATGTCCGGTGTGCCCACCCCGCCATTAGACCCAGCGGCATGGCGCGCATCCCTAATCACTCACAGCATCCCTTCCACCGAGCCTCACACGTCAGACATCGCGAGTGAGACTACACCCCGTCCCACTTAGTCTTACAGTCGTCCTTGATTTAGCCTTGATTTGAAACACTTTATGATGCCTTTCCTAATGCTACATCTACTTGGAGCTTCCTTGCTAACACGTCCTTGTGGGCTTCCTGAGGCACTCTGGAGAGGCCACCCTGCAGGCCAGGCTCGGGGAGAAGCCCAGAGGAGCAGATTTGGCCCAGCCTTTGGGGCGAAGAGGCGTTGGAAGGATCTGCTGGCCACCCTTGCCTGGTCTAAGCCAGACTCCCCCACTCTTTTTTGTTAAACTGAAGTATAGTTGATTTACAATGTTGTGGTAGTTTCTGGCGTAAAGCATGGTGGTTCAGTTACATCTATGTAAGATATATGTATTTTTCAGATTCTTTCCCATTATAATTTATTACAAGATATTGAATATAGTTCTTTGTGCTATACAGTAGGACCTTGTTGTTTGTCTGTTTTATATATGGTAGTTTGTATCTGCTAATCCCAAACTCCTATTTTTAAAAAAATTTTTTGGGGGTAGGTAATTAGGTTTATTTATTAATTTTATTGATTGATTGATTATGGAAGTACTGGGGATTGAACCCAGGACCTCGTGCATGCTAAGCATGTGCTCTACCACTAGAGCTATCCCCTCCCCTATCAAACTCTTAATTTATCCCTCCCTACTCCGTTCCTGTTTGGTAGCCATGTTTGTTTTCTATGTCTGTGAGTCTGTTTCTGATTTGTCAATAAATTCATTTGTATTATTTTTTAGATTTCACATATAAGTGGTATCATATGATATTGTTTTTCTCTACTTAACTTCACTTAGTATGAGAATCTCTAGGTCCCCTCATGTTGCTGCAAAAGGCATTATTTCATTCTTTTTTATGGCTGAGTAATATTCCATTATGTATATATACCTCATAATCTTCATCCAGTCATCTGTAGGTGGGCATTTAGGTTGATTCCTAAATAGTAGTGCTATGAACATTGGAGTGCATGTATCTTTTCTAATTAGCAGATTCCCTCACTCTTGTCTTCTAGGTCCTGGTAGTCCAGCCTCACTGCACACCCTGCAGCCCAAGGGGACCAGTCGCCCTCCTTCCCTGCTGGACGGACGTCAGAAGCCAAGCTTTCTCCCCACCCTCTGTGGGCCGCACGTGCACTCACATCCACCACACACATGCACTCACAGGCACACACACACATAAATACACATGCACATGGGCACACACACACACACACACACACACGTACACACACACATTGTCTGCGTATCTGAGCGTGCCCCTCGCACTGGGTCTTACCTTGCACCTTCTTCAGGATTTTATATGTGAAGAGATTTTTATATAGATTTTTCCTTTTTTTTCCCCCAAAACACTTTATACTTTTTAAAAAGCAATTCCTGGTGGCATGTGCCTCCAGCACTGGCTCCCCCTCTGCCTCCAGCCGCCTGCGACTCGTGGGCTTCTGGACCCGTAGCCCTGGCCTGGGTCCAGCGGAAGCCCAACAGCAGCAGCGCCATTGCAGGGCTGGCTCTGGGGGGAGAGGCAGGGAGCCAGCCACCCTCTTCCCGCCCTACCTCCCACTAACTACTTCCTTCCCTGGGAGGACCCGCTCCCTGGGACTCTGGTCAGAGGGACAGATGGACAGAGGGAGCCGGCAGCTGTCCCCTTGGCCCCCTCCTCTGAGAGGGTGCTGGGCTTGGATCTGCTGGAGCCGCCCCATGCAGGCATTTCTCTCCTGCTCCATGAGCCTTCTTAACTTAATAAAATGTTCCGACAGCTCTGGTGTCCTAGATGGCTGGGACAGGTTGGGTGATGGAGGTTGGGGTTTCTTAAAGTGGCCTCACCACCCACACCCCCCAGCACTCCACCCTTCCTGAAGGGGTGGCATGTGGGCTTCTGAGGGTGGAGCTGAGAATCTGGTTCTTCCACGAGGCTTTGCAGCTTCACATGGGGTTTGCAGATCCAGCAACTCCGGGGAGCTGGTTAGAAACACCAAGTCCAGACCCCACCCTGACCTACTGAGTCAGAATCTGCACTTTAACACAGCCCCCCTAGGATCCGTGTACACCTCAGTCTGAGAAGCCCTGAAGTGGGCACCGGACCCAGCCTTGGAGGGAGGACTGGAGCTGAGACTTTGCCCGTGACTGACCTTGGACAAGTCAGATCCCCTCTCTGAGCCTTAATTTGTTTCTCCATCAAATGGGTACTTTTCAGCCCCAGTCCTATACTGAAGCTGTGCCCAGAGGTCTTGTCTAGCCCTGGAAGGGGTAGGGGTGGGGGCAATGGATGTGACCACCCCAGGCCCACCTTGCTGGGAGGCCTCATCCCTGCTGGCTGGCTGTGCTGATCATGGCCCAGTGTGGGGCTGGGAAGAGGCCCCAGTTCTGAGCTGCTGCTGGCCCAGCCTGGGCTGTCCGAGTTGCAGAGTTATGGCCCGGGTGACAAGATGAGGGGAGAACTTGAGCTGGTCCCGCCCCTACAGCTATTCGCATCCACCCTTGGGCACTTCCTCTGGGCTGGGCACTGGGCATTCAGAGTCAGACAAGAACTGGCCCAACCCTCACTGAGGCCACAAAAACAGGCCACATTGGGTAGGGTCCCAAAGGCTGTAGGAACCCAGAGGAGACCCCAACCCAGCCTTCAGGTCAAAAAGGGTTTTTGGAGGTGGTTTTGGTATATGACTTTCCTAGATAGAAAGATCAGGAAGGGCATTCCAACTCCAAGGGAACAGCATGAGCAAATGCCCTGTGAACCTCCCTGGTGTGTTCGGGGAAAGACCCGTAGGGGGGTGAGCATGAGGGCTGTGGGGGAAGCGGACCCCATTCCCCTGCCAGGGATGGGGTTAGGAATGGGCACGGGATGTGGTTCTGGCCAATGAGATGCCCAGGAGAGTCTTGGTTGGGGTGGAGGATTGGAGGGCATCATCTGGAAAGGTCTTCCTTGCTTTTAAAAAGGAGCCCAAGGAAGGGAGGCCTATCTCTCTCAGCCTTTGGTCAGTGTTGGGTGAAGTCCCCATGTTGCCACCATCTTGTCTCATTAACATGCTAAAAATGGCCGAGCAGAAAGAAGGAAGAACCAGGACCCTTGAGCCATCAAATCACCCAGGCTTGGCGCTGCCCTGCCTCAGGGATTCTTGTCCCGTGAGATAAGGAGCATCCCATGGGCAGCCCCAGCATCCAGATAATTAGGTCCAGGGCCCTGCTCACCACACTTTCCTCCTGGCACCAGCCTTCTTGGACATCCCTGCATTCCATCCTCTGTCTCCATGACTCCCTCAGCCCAGCTCCCTGTAGCACCTGGGCTGTGGCAACCGCCTCCTCACTGGCTCCCTCCCACCCCACCCTCTCCTCAGGCAGGGCTGCCTGGACAAGCTAAAAAATCAGGCCAACCTATGAACAGGTGCCCCACCTCAGCCGTTTAAAAGCAATGATATCACTCCCCACCCCACCCCCACTAGAATAGCTCAAATTAACAGGACTAACAATACTAAGTGTCTGTGATGATGTGAAGAGCTGGAATTCTCACGCACTGCGGGTGGGAGTGGTCTTGGTACTAGCCCAGTGGGACACTGTTGGCAGTTTCTCATAAAGTTAAACAACATCTACCCTGTGATTGAGCATTTCCACTCCATCTATGCGCAAAAGAAATGAGTGCTTGGGTTTACAAAATGACTAGTACAATGATATTTATATCAGCCTTACTCATAGTAGCCGAAATCTGAAAACAGTACATATGTCTGTCAACAGTAGAATGAATGAATAAATGGTGGCACAGTCATACCTCAGAATACTCTATAGCAATTAAAAAAATATATAGACACACTATTGTATATAAAATAGATAAACAACAGGGTCCTGCTGTATAACACAGGGAACTATATCCCATGTCCTGTAATGGCCTATAATGAAAAAGAATATGAAAAGAATATATATGTGTGTGTGTATATATATATATATATATATATATATATATATATATAATAACTACACTCGTCGTCGTACCAACCAAACCTAAAACGTTAAAACCTAAACCTAAA